GACCAAGTAGGAAACGGCACAATGGCCGCCAGGGGAGAAGAGAGAGACCTACCTCCCTCTCTCCACTTCCCCTCCGTGTAGGTACACGGAAGAGCGCCTGGGAGGGCCCCGGCGTAATCTTCACGGGGTCCCGGGGTCCTCCAGACCAACAGGCACGNATGGCACACCGCTGGGGTTTTAGTGGGTACACCCCTCCTCCGCTCGCGGGCAGAGAGGGGGACTTCCACATAACCCCCACTTCTCCCCCAAAGATGGAGGTATCCATAAAGGATTTCCCCAGCGTCAAAAAAAAAAAAAAAAAAAAGTTAGGTTCCTGGGCGCCGGGCTGCGGCGGAGGGCGGGGCGCGGAGCCCGTTTGACGGGCTCCGCAAAGCCCAGAGAACGATCGCCTTTCGCGTCATACGCGGCTACCGCACGGTGGCCACGGAGACGGCGGGAGTGCTGGCAGGGATCCCTCCCCTGGCCCTCCTTGCGGCAATGTACTCGGTCCGCTATCACAGGCGGGTCGAGTTGATGCAAGGGGGCCTGGCGGACGAACCTCTGCGGGAAGCCATTGCCAACTCAGAGCCCCAAGCCCGGCGACAGCTGCTTCTGGACTGGGAGCAGCTTCTGGACGAGCCGAGAGCGGCTCGCCAGAAGGTCGTCGAGGCTGTCCGGCCCCATCTTTGCCTGTGGCTGAAGAACGGGACTGGACGCCTCACCTACCGGGTGACGCAGGTGCTCACCGGGCACGGGTGCTTCGGTGATTACCTGTGTCGAATCGGGAAGGAGCCGACGGCACAGTGCCGAGAATGTGGGGCGGCCAACGACACGGCGCGACACACCGCGGAGGAGTGTCCGCGGTGGGCCAACGAGCGTCGTGAGCTGGCCGCCAAAATTAGCGATGATATGTCCCTGGAGGCACTGCTTCGCGCACTGGCCTCCGGGGACGACGAGCAAAGAGACGCGGTGATCTCCTTCTGCTCCACTGTAATGGAGCAGAAGGAGACCGCAGAGAGAGAGAGGGAGCGTGGCCCTCTCCATCTCAGAAGGCCTCCCCGGGATGGAGCGCGAGCGGGCGGAGGGCCGCCCGCTGCCCGCGCCCGCCCGGGGGGCCAAGTTCCCGGATGAAATTGATCACCCTCCCCTCCTTCCTTCTCCAAAAGGGGCGGAAAGGATAGGGAGGGGACAAACCGGGACGGCGGGCGTTGGGGGAGCCGGGTCCCTCGTTAGCCCGCCGCCCCGGCCTGGGAAACGTGGGGAAGAGCGCGGTAATGGGAGGCTCTCTCCCTTCCTGGAGGTGGTACCGTCCATTCTCCAGGACTCTTTCTGGGGGAGGGGTGTGGCCTCCCCTCAAACCACCGCGCGGGCCGCGACGGGCAAGGGTGGGGACCTTTGCTCGTCCTGCACGCGGCCCAGGGAAGGGACGGCGCAGCGGAGTGTGCCCCGCTGTGCCGTCAAATAGACAAAGCATGCAACGCTCCAGGGGGGACTCGGCAGAGTCCTACAACGTGAATTCCGGATCCCCCCCTACTAAAAGCAGAGTGGGCACACCATGGAGGTTTTAGTGGGTACACCTCTCTTCGCCTGCGCGGCGGGGAGAGGGAGTCCCACATAACCCTGACTCTACCCCAGGGTCAGGGTATGCATAAAGCATTTCCCCCATGCCAAAAAAAAAAAAGGTTTCTGGGCGCCCGGGCGATTTCCCACCACCTTGTCGTGGTGCCCGGGCTTAGGAGCGGTGAAGTGAGGGGGCCATGCCGGTGGGGACTCTTTTGAGTCCCTGGTAGGGTCACCCATGCTCGGAAGGGCCTTTCACCGAGCTCCCGTACTAAGAGTGGGAATAGAGGAAGGAAAACCTTGAACAAAAACCCAGAGTTCCCAGCTCCGTTAGCCCCCAGAGACGAAAACAACTGGGATAGTGGAGTAAACCCTGACTTCAAATCCGGGCAGGCCGGGCTCGTCAGACTTGGATGTCAACCTGCCTAGAAGAAGGAAAACTCCGAAATTAAACCACCTCTTCTAATCGTAATTATGAGCAGTTCAGAAGACGATTTAGACTTACTGACCCAGAGTGTTCGGAGGGTGATACTCTATTGACCACAGTATGATTCGACACCGCTCGATTCGACACAGATTTATTTGACACCAAATTATTCGACACCG